TCAAGGGCGACGAGGACTCTGCTCACTCCTCTTCTCCCCCCTGCGGGTTACACTCCCCTCCCTGGAGACAGCCACCCTGCAGGTAACGGTGTCACCATCCCCATCCACATCAGGGAGGGTCAAATCACCCCATCTCTCACCCTGTGTGTCCCCCCCTTCCCCAGGCAGCATCTGAGGACCCCCAGACGGACACCTCCTGGCATCGGCGGTTCCCAGTTTGCCCCATCTCAGACCCGATGCTGTGGTGCTGACAATAAAGATGCTCCACAAGCCCCACTGGTGTCTCTGCAGTGTTCTGGGGAGAGGGCAGAGGCTCACACACTCCTAGGGTGTCTCACCAAGAGGAGCGGGTGTGTGGGGGCCATGGCATGGGACCCCAAAGGGCCAAGCGTGGCCTGGGGTGCCTCAGGCATGGCCCTACTGGCTGACCGAGGGAAGGGATCGTCCCGCTCTGCTCGGCCTGCTGCAGCCTCGCCTCGAGCACTGTGTGCATCTGTGGTCACCGCAGCAGATGAAGGGCGTGAAACTGTGTGAGAGCCTCCAAGGGAGGGCTACGAGGATGGCGAAGGCTCTGCAGGGCAAGGCGTGTGAGGAGACGGTCTGCTGCAAGACGCCTTCCCAGGCAGCAAGGCCTCAGGACACAAAGCACCCAGGAAATGCCACTGCCAGACTCCATCTTCCTGTGCAAAAATTTATTTGACACAGTCCTGCTGCTGCTGGGCATTGGGTACATGTACTCCAGAGGAGGGAACACAGAGCCCCCACAGGCTGCTCATGCTCAGCACCAGGCACAGAGCAAGGATCAACCCCAAACTAGGAGGCAAAAGTGGCCTGCAATGGCTGGCAGAATATGGTGACCACATCCCTTGCCCTGGGTTCTGCAAGCAGTGCAAGCAGAGGGGAGAGGAGTGTGGAGAATTGCTGCAGCCCCTGTGCTGCCCGCTGGGGCTCAGAGGCAGGGTAAGACCCTTGGGTGCCAGCAGGGCTTGTGCCCCAGCACAGGAGCCACGTGAAGGGCAGAGCCCAGGGGCTGCAAGGGGCCTGGCCCCTGTTTGCAGTATCCCAGCCCTCCTCCAGCAGCAGGGAGGAGCCTGGGGCAGCCCCTGGCCCCATTGCCCCTCATACCTGTTCTGCTCCTGCAGGACCAAGTAGAGGTGATGCAGGAGTGTCTGGAAAAGGGCTGGAGCCCCCCAGGGCTGGGGACGAGTTATGGTGGGTGCTGTCCCTCAGGTACAGCTGAATTCCCGATTTCTCCAGCCAGAACCAGGGGCGGATGCTCTCCCCATTGAAGGAGGCTGCTGTGAAAGTGAAGATCTGGACCCCATTGTCAGCGTTGATGAAAGACACGTGCTGCTGGGTACAGTCCAGACAGACCCAGATCCTCGTGGGGATAGGGGACAGGGACAAGGGGGTGGGAGGAGATGTGAGAGACTTGAGCTGCCCCTCATCGTACTGCAGAGCCCAGATCCCTCCTTCAGGGCTCATGTTCATCCACTTCCTTTTCTCCACAGAAGCCCTGGCCACCCCCACAGCCCACCCTGAGTACTTTAGCCACTCTCCCTCCACCTCCACCAACCAGCAGTGCCTCCCCTCTCTGAACTCCTCAAGGCCCAGCACACACCACCGGTTCTCAAATCTCTCCGGTGTGTCAGGAACCTGCTTCCGTTCACTTTCTCGTCTCACACTGCTCTTGTCCTGAGACACAACAAGTTCAGGATGAGCCGTGTCAGGATCCAGGGTCACCTTCACTGCAGGGACAGAAGGAGCCAGGCCATCAGGGGCAGAGCTCAGCCCTGGGCAGGCTTTCCCCAGCTTGGGGCCAGGAGCTGCCCCACGGGGCAGGAGATGGGGCACCTCTTGGCACCTGAACATGCCCCACCAGAGGCAGGAGAAGCACCCCAGCAGGCAACCCAATGCACACCTACCTGTATTTTGAGGCAGCAGAAACTTTCTCCATGCTGGAAGGAGAGGGGAGAGCTGGTCACAGCCCATGGCTGGTGCCCAGTGGGTGTGGGCAGGGTGAGCGGCCAGCCCTGGGCTGCTCTGTCCCAGCTGCCCACCCTCCCCTCACATTGCCTTAGCGTGGCCATGGGGCCCAAGGAATGTGATACTCACCCAGCTCTGCAGCTTGTTTCTCTGAAAAGGAAACTGAAAGTAATATATGATGGGTAAGAAAGTAAAGCCTGAGGGAAGACTTGCTTAGCCCGTAGCTGACCTTATGACATCCCATGAAAGGGTAAAACACTGCCTTGATCAGAGGTGGGACTAAAGAAATAGTCATTGTGGTACAGCTTTGTACAATGCTATTGTAAGCAGAACTTTAAGGACTGACATTTCTGCAGCTTTTATCTTTGTGCCACTGAAGCCATTACAGAAGTGAAGAAAGGATTGCTGGAGAATGCCCGTTTCCCGAAAGCATCAGTGCTGAGTGGGGCAGCCCCACAGCTCGCTCCCCGTCCCCACCTTGATCCCCGTTCCTTTCAGCCATCCCGGCCGTGTCCCGTGCCCAGGGCAGCCCCAGCCCCAGCACTCCCCACTCCCACCCCAGGCTCCAGCTGCTCCTCCAGCACCCCCGAGCCACCAGCACACAAGCCCTCAGAGCCCACCCAGACCAGGCCCTCCCGCAGGGACACCACTTCCCCAGGGGCTGGGGGCAGGGACTGCAAGGACTCTCCCAGCTCTCAGCTCTGTGCCTCTGAAAAGCAAAGGCGAAGGAACAGGTGGTGAGCAGAGCAGCTTGGTTGCTGGGTGGGAACATGTGCAGGGGGGCTGCGCCTTGCCACCAGCCCCACGCTGCAGCCATGCTCCCTGGCCTCCCACCCAAGAGGATCCGAAGGCCTTTGGCATCCCCAGGAGAACATTCCCTTCCTCCTCCTATGCACCTCCCTGGGCCAGGGCTCAGCCCCGCTCCAGACCCAGGGGGGTCCCTGCAGAACACCTCCCTGCGCTCCAACCCTGTGCTGCCAGCTTACCTTGCTTTCGAAAGAGATAAACACCGAGGCCAATGGACACAGCCAAAAACACCAGGACCAGGACCAGAACCACTATCAAGGGCTGGGCGTTTATGAAAAAGGGAGCTGAAAAAAGGCAAAAGGAAAAGGGCTGTATTTACATGGCTGGGGTTAGAAGAGCAAGACCCAAACTTCTCCTGGGTCAGGACAAGTGCAGGGGCCAGGAACACCTCACCCTGGCTGTGCCATTTGTACCTGCAATGTTCAGGGATGATTCCCGTTCCTCCTGGAGGCGGCTTTTCCTGACCACGCAGGACAAGGGCCCCTCCACGCTCCCGGTCATGATGACGGCGCCTTCGATTTCAAAGAGCCCCTCCTGGTCCTGGGAATGTGTCTGGGAGACCGAGGGCAGGTGCTGCCGCGAGCATCCCTCCACAGCAGCTGCGGCAGCGGGTACCAGCCGGCCGATCGACACAGCACCCGGACGCCTCCGGCCTCGTAGCCTCCCAGGGAGAGGTGGGGGTCAGTGCCTGTGGCTGGGGAAAGAGCACGTGGCTGGGGCTGCGCTTCGGGAGGGATTCATTTCAAGGCAAAGACCCCATCAGCTCCCATGCCAGACACAGCCCAGGACAGCCATGGTCACAGGGGCTCAGGGACCGGGCACTCCACGGAGCCACTCTCACCCCTAACCCGCACCTATTGTTGGCACAGCTGAAGGACCTGCTCAGCAACCTGTGCCCATTGTCCACACAACACCATGGGGATGGAGTTCAAATAGGGTCCCTGAGACTGAATTAAATCATTGCATTCAAGCAGCTCTCTCTCAATAAAAAGCCTGCAAGGGCACAGGTGTACTTCTTGGTGGACAAGTGCTCACTGACAGAGGAGAAGCCTCATCACACTCTACTGTTTGCAAGGCCACGTAGATGGCCATGAATATGGGACCGGGTCCTGGGTGGGACACACAGACCCGGGGACACCTGCACCATCCCTTGAATGCCTCAACCCAGCCACTAACCTGCCACCTCCAGCTCCACAATGGCTTCGTCATAAACATGAGCATCTCTCACAGTGCAGACGTACTGGCCATCATCAGAGGGTCTCAGCCCCGTGATTCGCAAGTGCAGGCTTCCAGCAGAGAGACCATCCCTGGCCAACTCTGTCCTCCCGGCATATGCCCCCATCTGCTCCCCGTACAGGTCCTCTCCATTGCGGTAGTGGTGCACTGTCTTAGAGAACTTGGCCCGGATCCACCTGACCTCCAAGGTGCGAGCATCGTGTTGAGGGGACAAGTGGCAGGGCAGCACGACATCCTGCCCCACGGTGGCAGTGACAGAGTGGCCTGGTCCCACCACTGTGAGCTGGGCTGGGCAATGGAGAAGGGCACAGAGAGGCAGTGAGATTTTGCTATTGTAAATTTAGGTGCAGTGAGTGACAAAGGGCGAGCTGTGTGTGAGTTGGTGCGTGCTGTGTCCCCCATGTCCCATGGGAAACCACCCGGGAAACAGGAGAGGGAGAGGGAGGACGTGCAGGAGAAGGAGGTGTGCTGGGAGTGGGAGCCCTCTCTGCAGCATTCGGGCAGGAGAAGAAGAGCCAAAAATGGCAGCCAAGGCAGCGCCCATATTGTGTGAAAGAACCAAAGGGAAAGTGAAACCCAGCGGGGAACAAGCTCTGGGCTCTGGTCCCCCTACCCTGGAGCCGCTCCCCTGCCCTATGGCAGCACATCTGCATGCACAGGGGGGAGAGCCCCCAGCATCCCTGCAGGATCCTACCTGAGCCCAGCTGGAGAAGGTGCAGAGTGATGAGGGAAGTCAGGAAGCCGCTGGCATGGCCGGTGAGGCTGGGGCGGCCGCAGAACCTGTAGAGCCCCATCTGTGCTGCAGCGGGAGCAGGATCTGGGGGTAGAAGAGTAAGGTACTGAGGGGCTGCAGGCCTGGGCACAGGGAGCCACAGCCAGCAGCGCCTTGGGCAGGGTGCAGAGCCTGCGCTTATCATGGTCTGGGGGACACAGAAGGCAGCCCCAGGTGTTCTTCTCCAAGGCAGTCTCACCAAAATAGTCGTCCCTCTCAGCACCCACCATAGCTGCAGGAACTAGAAGGCTACACGTGACTTCACCAACTTCTGCTCAGTTCTTATCTGCAGTAACCCTCTGGGAGGAGCCCTGACCCTTGGGGGATGGGTGCAAGATGCTGCAGGGCAGAGCGACATCGGAGGCTGCAGGGAAAGAGGCACAGCTGGCTGCCGTGCATCTCAGTGCCACCCTTTTCCCAGGGTGGTGGGGACAAAGAGCCAGCCCCACTCCTGGCTCTGTTCATCCCAGTGGAGGAGAAATGGGCAGACCTTTTGCCCTCTGGCAAGCAAAGCCCTTCTGCAGCACGGTGGAGACTTTGGTGTGGAAATGGCTTCCAAGGACCAGAAGGACAGCTTCTGCATGCAGCTAGGATGATGACATGGATGAACTGTTCTTTAAGGAACAATGCGATGCCTCAGAATCTGCTGCCCTAGTCCTTATCAGGGTGAATTCATATGGCTAAAGCTCAATTTGAATTGAAGCTTGACAGAACTGTTGGGGGAAATAAAACTGAGTTTTATAAAATATCTAAAGAGCAAAAGTAGAACCGGAGAAAACAGTGGTCCTTTACTTGATGGGGATGGTCTCCTCACAAACAGGGGCATGTTTAATGCTTTTTTTGCCTTTGTCTTCAACACTGACAATGGGCTCTGGGACCCCAGTTGCCCTGAGCTGGAGGACCGTGAGAGCAGGAATGATAAACTCCCAGCAAATGCTGAATTAGCATGCAATTTGCTCCTACAGGTGGAGACTATAGGGCCTGATGGGATTCATCCCAGAGTACTAAGAAAACTGGCTGATGTCATCATGAAATCCTGTCCTGGTTTCAATTAGGATAGAGTTAATTTTCCTCCTTGTAGCTGGTAGAATGCTATGTTTTGGCTTAGGATGAGCAGAGTGCTGATAACATGCTGATGTTTGAATTGTTGCAGAGCAGTGCTAACACCAAGCCAAGGACGTCTCAGCTTCTTGCTCTGTCCTGCCAGCGGGCAGGCTGGGGGACCTATAAATGTCCCCAGTGCAGTATAGCCTTGCAAAGAATTCAGTCTACTCAGCCCATCTCAGGACTCACTGGGGACAACCCCCTTATCCCTGCTCTGACTGTGGGGAAGCCTTCTCTGAAAGCTCGGCGTTCAACCAACATTGGAAAAAGCACTTGGTAGGGAAACCCCATCAGTGCCCTGACTGCGGGATGGGCTTCACTGCTCCCTCAGCCCTCCTCCTCCACCACAAAAGCCATGTGGAGCCTAACTTTTACTGTTCTTCCCAAACAACCCTCTGAAGATTACATCTGTGAATTGAGGAGGACCAGGCATGCAGCTGTTGGTCATGGCATAGCTTCTCGTAGCGCTTAGGGAACGTGGTGGTCAGTCAGTCCCTGGCCCTGGGATGGCTTTGGGGATGGTGGGAGCCCAGTGGGATGTAGGATAATTGGCTGAGAGAATGGTAGGACAGCAGTGGGTGGAGGGTTTTGAGGCTTGGGGTTGGTGAGAGCCCAGTGGAATGGAGGATGATGGGGTTTTGGAGATGATGAGACCCTGCTGGGGTGAAGGTGGATGGGGTTTGTGGTGGTGGATCCCCACTGGAGTGGAGGACAATGGGGTTTTGTGATGGTGGGACCCTGCTGGGATTAAAGAGGATGGGGTGTGAGGATGGTGGGATCTCAATGGGATGAAGGATGATGGGATTTTGGGATGGTGAGACCCCACGTGCATGAAGATGGGTGGTTGGGTGTGGAGACCACTCAGCTTGGCATTGAGAACCAGCTGGAGGAGAGCATCTGTGTCTCCTCATTGTGTAGCTGGGTTCATAACCTATTCTTAGCTTCCCACCTTCATATAATTAAACCTTCGAGGAGGCCAAGTGAGTCCTGCAGCCACGGAGGCTCCATCTCACTGAGGTTCGTTCAGTTTGGATCACCTGCTTCTATCGGACACAGTGTCTTCCGAACGCATTTCCTTCCCCTGTTTCTGCACTGTGTCTGCTCCTGATTTTAATGCTGCGATGTTTAAAACACACCACAATGAATTTGGCTCGAGAATGTCAGCTTGTTTCCCTGCTTGCTTTTAAACAAGGTGCAAAAAGTGGCACTGGTTTTCTGGGAGTGCAGGATTGTTACTGATTGCTGAGGGTTGGTGAAGCTGGGGTGGACCCATGGCTCCTGCAAGCCCATTTCTGGCTGAACCCTGCCCTGAGCAGTGGAAAATAAAACAGCCACGGGACAATTTGGGTGGTGGAAGGGAAATATGGGACATGGAGGTGGCTTGAAAGGACCTGATGGACAGCTTTAAGGTTGACGCCACCTGCTGCCTCTTCTTGGAGGACTTCAAGAAGCTGGTGATGCCCCCCCTGCAGGCAGAGCCTCTACCAAGCCTGTGTGATGGGAGGATGGAAGCTCTTGATGATCCACTTGTCCCAGCTGGGTCATTACCCTGTCTAGCTCAGGGCAGGGCAATGACCCAGCTGGGACAAGGGGGTGCCAGGGAACAGATGGAGAACCAAGGGGCAGTTGGCGCTTTGGTTCCTCCCGGCTATGACTCCCAGGACCAACACCAAGGAGAGGTCTGCTGCAAGACGCCTTCCCAGGCAGCAAGGCCTCAGGACACAAAGCACCCAGGAAATGCCACTGCCAGACTCCATCTTCCTGTACAAAACTTTATTTGACACAGTCCTGCTGCTGCTGGGCCTTGATGTGCTCCAGAGGAGGGAACAAAGAGCCCCCACAGGCTGCTCATGCTCAGCACCAGGCACAGAGCAAGGATCAACCCCGAACTAGGAGGCAAAGGTGGCCTGCACTGGCCAGCAGCACACAGTGACCACATCCCTTGCCCTGGGGTCTGCAAGCAGTGCAAGCAGAGGGGACAGGAGCGTGGAGAGCTGCTGCAGCCCCTGTGCTGCCTGCTGGGGTCAGAGGCAGGGTGAGACCCGTGGGTGCCAGCAGGGCTTGTGCCCCAGCACAGGAGCCGCATGCAGGGCAGAGCCCAGGGGCTGCAAGGGGCCTGGCCCCTGCTTGCAGCATCCCAGCCCTCCTCCAGCAGCAGGGAGGAATGGAGGGAACCCCTGCCCCTCATTCCTGTGCTGCTCCTGCAGTATGAAGGAGAGGTGATGCAGGAGTGTCTGGAGAAGAGCAGGAGGTCCCAAGGCCTCGGGATGGGGTCGGTAGTGTGCTATCTCTCAGGCACAGCTGAATTCCACGTGTCCACAACAGGAACCAGGGGTGGAGGCTCTCACCACTGAAGGAGGCTGCTTTGAAAGTGAAGATCTGGACCCCATTGTCAGCGTTGATAAAAGACACCTGCCCCTGGGTACAGTCCAGGCAGACCCAAATCCTTGTGGGAACATGGGACAGGGACAAGGGAGTGGGAGGCCATGTGAGAGACTTGAGCTGCCCCTCATAGTACTGCAGAGCCCAGATCCCTTCTTCAGGGATTATGTTGATCCACTTCTTTCTCTCCACAGAAGCCCTGGCCACCCCCACAGCCCACCGTGAATACTTTAGCCGCTCTACCTCCACCACCACCAACCAGCAGTGCCTCCCCTCTCTGAACTCCTCACGGCCCAGCAGGCAGCACTGACAGTCAAATCTCTCTGGTGTGTCAGGCACCTGCTGCCGTTCACTTCCGCATCTCACACTGCTGTTGTCCTGAGACACCACAAGCCAGGGATGAGCCGTGTGTGGATCCAGGGTCACCTTCACTGCAGGGACAGAAGGAGCCAGGCCATCAGGGGCAGAGCTCAGCCCTGGGCAGGCTTTCCCCAGCTCGGGGCCAGGAGCTGTCCCACGGGGCAGGAGATGGGGCACCTCTGGGCTCCTGAACATGCCCCACCAAGGGCAGGAGAAGCACTTCAGAGGGCTACCCAATGCACACCTACCTCTATTATGAGGCAGCAGACACCGTCTCCATGCTGGAAGGAGAGGGGAGAGCTGGTCACAGCCCATGGCTGGTGCCCAGTGAGTGTGGGCAGGGTGCGGGGCCAGCCCTGGGCTGCTCTGTCCCAGCTGCCCACCCTCCCCTCACATTGCCTTGGCATAGCCATGTGTCGAAGCACCAGGACACTCACCCAGCTCTGCAGCTTGTTTCTCTGAAAAGGAAAGTGAAAGTAATGCATGATCAGAGGGAGAGTTGTTCAGCCCATATTAGACCCTGAACACATCCCATGACAGGGATAATACAGCCTTGTTCCAAGGTGGGACCCAAAACATAGTGGTCCAGCTATGAACAATGCTCTTAGTGCATCTGGAAACACAGACACTTGTGCAGATTATATCTCAGTGGTACCGTAGACATTACCAAAATGAAAAAAAGATTGTTGGAGGATATTCCGTTCCTGTCCCAGAAGTGTCAGTGCAGAGCGGGGCAGCCTCATAGCTCGCTCCCCGTCCCCACCTTGATCCCCGTTCCTTTCAGCCATCCCGGCCGTGTCCCGTGCCCAGGGCAGCCCCAGCCCCAGCACTCCCCACTCCCACCCCAGGTTCCAGCTGCTCCTCCAGCACCCCCGAGCCACCAGCACACAAGCCCTCAGAGCCCACCCAGACCAGGACCAGACCCTCCCACAGGGACAACACCAGTTCCCAGGGGCTGGGGGCAGGGACTGCAAGGACTCTCCCAGCTCTCGGCTCTGTGCCGCTGAAAAGCAAAGGCGGAGGAACAGGTGGTGAGCAGAGCAGCTTGGTTGTTGTGTGGGAACATGTGCAGGGGGGCTGCGCCTTGCCACCAGCCCCACGCTGCAGCCATGCTCCCTGGCCTCCCACCCAAGACCATCCTAAGGCCTTTGGCATCCCCAGGAGAACATTCCCTTCCTCCTCCTACGCACCTCCCTGGGCCAGGGCTCAGCCCCGCTCCAGACCCAAGGGGGTCCCTGCAGAACACCTCCCTCTGCTCCATCCCTGCGCTGCCAGCTTATCTTGCTTTCGGAAGAGATAAACACTGAGGCCAATGGACACAGCCAAAAGCACGAGGACCAGAGCCAGAGCCACCATCCAGGACTGGGTGTTGTGGAAGAAGGGAACTGAGAAAAGGCACCAGGAAAAGGGCTGTGTTTACATGTCCATGGATGGAAGAGCAAGACCCAGACTTCTCCTGGGTCAGGACAAGTGCAGGGGCCAGGAACACCTCACCCTGGCTGTGCCATTTGTACCTGCGATGTGCAGGGATGATTCCTTTTCCTCCTCGAGGTGGCTGTTCCTGACCATGCAGGACAAGGGCCCCTCCACGCTCCCGGTCACGATGACGGCACCTTCGATTTCAAAGAGCCCCTCCTGGTCCTGGGAATGTGTCTGGGGGTCCGAGGGCAGGTGCTGCCGCGAGCATCCCTCCACAGCAGCTGCGGCTGCGGGTACCAGCCGACCGATAGACACAGCACCCGGATGCCTCCGGCCTCGTAGCCCCCCAGGGAGAGGTGGGGGTCAGTGCCTGTGGCTGGGGTAAGAGCGCGTGTTTGGGGCTTGACTTGGGGAGGAATTCAGTTCCAAGGCAAAGACCCCATCTGCTCCCATGCCAGACACAGCACAGACAAGCCATGTCCCCAGGGGCTCAGGGACTGGACGCTTCAAGGAGCCACTCTCACCCCTAAACAGCACATATTGTTGGCACAGCTGAAGGACCTGCTCAGAAACCTGTGCCCACTGTCCACATAACACCATGGGGATGGAGTTCAAATAGGGTCCCTGAGACTGAATTAAATCATTGCATTCATGCAGCTCTCTCTCAATAAAAAGCCTGCAAGGGCACAGGTGTACTTCTTGGTGGACAAGTGGTCACTGACAGAGGAGAAGGCTCATCACACTCTACAGTTCGAAAGGGCACGTAGCTGGCCATGAGGATGGGACCAGGTCCTGGGTGGGACACACAAACCCAGGGACACCTGCACCACCCCTTGGATGTATCACCCCAGCCACTAACCTGACACCTCCAGATCCACTATGGTTTCAGCATAAGCATCAGCATCTCCCACAGTGCAGACGTACTGGCCATCATCAGAGGGTCTCAGCCCCATGATTCGCAAGTCCAGATTTCCAACAGAGAGACCATCTCTGGCCAGCTCTGTCCTCCCGGCATATGCCTCCATCTGCTCCTCATACAGGTCCTCTCCATGGCGGTAGTGGTGCACTGTCTCAGGTAACCTGTGCCGAATCCACCTGATTTCCAAGGTGCGAGCATCGCGTTGAGGGGACAAGTGGCAGGGCAGCACGACATCCTGCCCAAGAATGGCAGTGAGAGGGTGTCCTGGTCCCACCACTCTGAGCTGGGCTGGGTAATGGAGAAGGGCACAGAGAGGCGGTGAGATTTTGCCATTGTAAATTTAGGGGCAATGAGTGTCAAAGGGGGAGCTGTGCGTGAGTTGGTGTGTGCTGCGTCCCTTGTGTATCGTGGGAAAACACCAGGGAAAGAGGAGAAACACAGGGAGGACATATAGGAAAAGGAGGTGTGCTGGGAGTGGGAGCCCTCTCTGCAGCATTTAGGTGGGTGAAGGAGACACAGAAAGGGCAGGCAAGGCAGCAGCCATATTGCGTGAAAGAACCAAAGTGAAAGTGAAACCCAACATGGGCGAGCTGTGGGCTCCAGACCCCCCTTACCAAAGCCGCTCTCCTGTCCCACAGCAGCATGTGTGCCTTCACAGGGGCCCCCAGCAGCCCCACAGGATCTTACCTGAGCCCAGCTGTAGGAGGAGCAGAGTGATGAGGGAAGTCAGGAGGCCCCTAGCATAGCCGGTGAGGCTGGGGTGGCTGCAGCCCCAGGGGAGCCCCATCTGAGAGAGAGGACCCCCAGGGGGCAGGGGGCCCCCCAGGGGTTTTTCTCCAAGCCAAGGTAGATGTCCCTCACGGCACCCAGCAGAGCTGCAGAAAGTACAAGGCTACGCCCAACTTTCCCAGCCTTTGCCCAGTTCCTGGCTGCAATAACCCTCCTGGAACAGCTCTGCCCCTAGGGCAATGTCTGGGGAGCTCTGCAGGGCTGGCACCACCATCCCATTGCAGCTGGGTGCCCAGCCCACTGCCTTTAGCAAGCACAAGAGGCTTGTCCCCAGTGGGGGCCTCTCCAGACCTCCAGGGAAAGCCACTGGCTAAGGTTGTTCATCTCCACGCATGCAAGGAGGAATCAAACTGTGAGCAATGGGAAAATGTGGAGAGATGGCAGTGAAGAGCTGAGCAGGATCAGAGGCTGCAGGGAACGGGGCACAGCTGGGTGCCGAGCCCAGAGCTGCCACCCTTTGCCCAGGGTGCTGAAGGCAAAATGCCTGTGCCTCTCCCGGCTCCAGTAAAGCAGCTGTGGCAGAAGGTTTGCTCAGATGGGCAGGGACCTTCTTCTAGAGCTTAGGTGGATAAGGAAAGTTCCTGTTTGCTGGAAGGGAAGTCAGGCAACATGGAAAGACTGCAGAGGTACTGTTTGCCTTTGTAGGGTGGAAATTCATATGGCTCCTCCATGGGCTGCAGTGTGGAGATCTGCACCACCTGTACTCCCGCTCCATCCACTAACTGCCCCAGTCCCCTAACGTCCCGTTTGATAGCCTTCAGGCTTCTCTCCTCAATGTCATCACTGCCAGCCTGGACTATCAAAAGAGGATAGCAGACCTGAGGCGTGGAGTCGACTTCCTCACCCTAGGCATCCTCCTGGCTACACTTTCTACCTCTTCCTCAGCTCCCATTCCCTCAAGCTCCAGGGCCTCAAACCTGTTCTGGAAGGGCACCTAGGAAGGTGGGGCCTTTTGGGGAGGGCATCGCCTGTGATGTCGAGCAGGGACCTGTCTCCATTCTTCCTCAACTCCTAGGTCCCCTCCCTCTGTCCAACAGCGACAGGGGTGGGGATCCACCCCCATTTGGGGTGTCTCACCCCGGTACCTCTCCTTCAGGCCCCGCAGGGAGTTGCCCCACCACTCTATCTCCCGCTCACACTCCCTGATAACCCTCAACCTCTCCACCTCCTCCTTGAGTTCTGCCACCAGGTGGACCAGGTCATCCACCTGCTCGCACCTCACGCACACACAGTCTCTCTGCCTCCCGCAGATGGCAGCAAGAGGCTCAGACGCTCCCTGCACCCAGAGACCTGAACTGGTGCATTTTTGAGCGGGCAGTCATTCTGGGTGTGCACAGACTTGCTAGAGAGAGCACTGTGCCTGGTGGAGACCATTGCAGCCTAGCTAGTGGTAGACCGCCTTTAGAGGAGTTGTTCATATGGTCCGGGGGGGAACGCTCTGCCCTCCCTTCTTGCCCTGCCTGCATGAATTGCCTCCCACTCCCTTCTGATACGCCATGCCCTGTTTGCCCTCCCGGATCGCTGCGTTCCTGGTTGTTGCGCTCCCCAGGGGCAGCTTTTGAACTGCCAAGGAGGGGGCCCTGCTGGCTCTGCCAAAGCCTTGTCAGCCTCTGTGGTGAGGGCTGCTGGGTCCTGGCATCTCCCACAAGTGGGCTTGATGCTAGAAAAATATAGCCCTGCCTGTCTGATCCCCTGCTCTGCTGCAGAAAGGGTTTGCTCTGGAGCTGATCACCTCGGCAAGATGTTGCACTTGCACCAGGCATTGCATGGGGGTGTTGCAGAGCACACTGCGTGAGGATGTCGCAGGGGGATGTTGCACACAGCACTGCACAGCGCATTACATTGCCCTTTGCAAGGGGATGTTGCAGATAGCCATGCCTCTTGCAGGGTGTGGCACAAGGGCGTTGCACAGGGCATCGCATGGGTATGTCACACCTGACATCGCGTGGGATAATGCCTAGAGCTTTGTACAGGAGTGTTGCATGGGAGCGTTGCACGGAACATTCCGTGGGGACATTGCACAGAGCAGGAAAAAGGGGCTCGCCCACCACTGACCCCATCCCCATCCCTGCTCCAGCGCAGCCCCCAGTCTGCTGCCCCAGTAGTTACCCAGAGGTGTTGTAGAGCATGTTGCAAGGAGATGTTGCACGTGGCATTGCATGGGGATGTTGCAGAGCACACTGCGTGAGAACATCACAGGGGGATGTTGCACGGAGCACTGCACAGCACATTGCATTGAGCATTGCAAGGGGATGTTGCACAGAGCAATGCCTCTTGCAGGGTGTGGCACAGGGGTGTTGCACAGGGCATCGCATGGGGATGTCACACGTGATATCACACAGGACAAGGCCTAGAGCTTGCACAGGGCGTTGCATGGGGAAGTGGCATGGGGAAGTTGTGTGGAGCTTTGCACGAGAGCATTGCACAACATTGCGTGAGGACGTTGCATAGGGCAGGGAAAAGGGGCTCGCCCACCACTGACCCCATCCCCATCCCTGCTCCAGTGCAGCCCCAAGTCCGCATCATCCCCGCGGAGATGGGGAACGCCCGTGTGCCCGTCTGCCTCAGCTGCCACATCTGGGGCTTCTACCCCCCGAGGTGACCGTCATCTGGCTGCACAACGGGGACATCGTGGAGCCCGACGACTACAACCCCATCTCCGCCATCCCCAATGGCGACTGGAGCTACCAGAGCAAGGTGTCCCTGCTGGTGGCCCCGGTGGCAGGCGACACCTACATGTGCTCGGTGCAGCACGTCAGCCTGCAGGAGCCCCTCCTGGAGGACTGGAGTGAGTGGAGAGGCGCAGGACCGCATCCTGAGGCTGGTGGTCTTGGCTCCTTGCTGCCACTCACCCGGCCGTGTCCCCACAGGTCCCGGACTGATGCCGGAGGTGATGATACTGGTGGCGGTGGCCACCGTGCTGATGGTGCTGGGACTTGGCTTATTTCTCGCCGGCATCTACCGCTTCAGGGCCAGGCCTCCCGCCCCGGGTGAGTGTCCGGGGAGAACTGGGGCCGTGGTCAAGGGCGTCGAGGACTCTGCTCACTCCTCTTCTCTCCCCCGCAGGTTACACCCCCCTCCCTGGAGACAACTACCCCGCAGGTAACGGTGTCCCCATCCCCGTCCACATCAGTGAGGGGCAAATTTCCCCATCTCTCACCCTGTGTGTCCCCCCCTTCCCCAGGCAGCATCTGAGGACCCCCAGACGGACACCTCCTGGCACCGGTGGCTCCCGTTTGGCCCCATCTCAGACCCGATGCTGTGGTGCTGACAATAAAGATGCTCCACAAGCCCCACTGGTGTCTGTGAAGAGTTCTGGGCACAGGGCAGAGGGTCACGCACTCCTACAGTGTCTCACCAAGATTATCGGGTGTGGGGGGGCCATGGCATGGGACCCCAAAGGGCCAAGCGTGCCCTGGGGTGCCTCAGGCACGGCACTGCTGGCTGGCCGAGGGAAGGGATCATCCCGCTCTGCTCGGCCTGCTGCGGCCTCGCCTCGAGCACTGCGTGCAGCTGTGGGCACCGCAGCAGACAAAGGGCGTGAAACTGTGCGAGAGCCTCCAAGGGAGGGCTACGAGGACGGCGAAGGCTCTGCAGGGCAAGGCGTGTGAGGAGACGGTCTGCTGCAAGACGCCTTCCCAGGCAGCAAGGCCTCAGGACACAAAGCACCCAGGAAATGCCACTGCCAGACTCCATCTTCCTGTACAAAACTTTATTTGACACAGTGCTGCTGCTGCTGGGCCTTGATGTGCTCCACAGGAGAGAACAAAGAGCCCCCACAGGCTGCTCATGCTCAGCACCAGGCACAAAGCAAGGGTCAACCCCAACCTAGGAGGCAAAGGTGGCCTGCAATGGCCGGCAGCACACAGTGACCACATCCCTTGCCCTGGGGTCTGCAAGAAGTGCAAGCAGAGGGGAGAGGAGCGTGGAGAGCTGCTGCAGCCCCTGTGCTGCCTGCTGGGGCTCAGAGGCAGGGTGAGACCAGTGGGTGCCAGCAGGGCTTGTGCCCCAGTCCAGGAGTCCTGGGTAGGGCAGAGCCCAGGGGCTGCAAGGGGCCTGGTTCCTGCTTGCAGCATCCCAGCCCTCCTCCAGCAGCAATGAGGAATGCAGGGAACCCCTGCCCCTCATTCCTGTGCTGCTCCTGCAGGATCAAGGAGAGGTGATGCAGGAGTGTCTGGAGAAGGGCAGGAGGTCCCAAGGCCTCGGGATGGAGTTGGTAGTGTGCTATCTCTCAGGCACAGCTGAATTCCCCGTGTCCACAACAGGAAACAGGGGTGGATGGTCTCCCCATTGAAGGAGGCTGCTCTGAAAGTGAAGATCTGGACCCCATTGTCAGCATTGATAAAAGACACCTGCCCCTGGGTACAGTCCAGGCAGACCCAAATCCTTGTGGGAACATGGGACAGGGACACGGGAGTGGGAGGCCATGTGAGAGACTTGAGCTGCCCCTCATAGTACTGCAGAGCCCAGATCCCTTCTTCAGGGATTATGTTGATCCACTTCTTTCTCTCCACAGAAGCCCTGGCCACCCCCACAGCCCACCGTGAATACTTTAGCCGCTCTCCCTCCACCTCCACCAACCAGCAGTGTCTCCCCTCTCTGAACTCCTCACAGCCCAGCAGGCAGCACTGACAGTCAAATCTCTCTGGTGTGTCAGGGACCTGCTGCCGTTCACTTCCGCATCTCACACTGCTGTTGTCCTGAGACACCACAAGCCAGGGATGAGCCGTGTGTGGATCCAGGGTCACCTTCACTGCAGGGACAGAAGGAGCCAGGCCATCAGGGGCAGAGCTCAGCCCTGGGCAGGCTTTCTCCAGCTCGGGGCCAGGAGCTGTCCCACGGGGCAGGAGATGGGGCACCTCTTGGCTCCTGAACATGCCCCACCAGGGGCAGGAGAAGCACTTCAGAGGGCTACCCAATGCACACCTACCTCTATTATGAGGCAGCAGACACCGTCTCCATGCTGGAAGGAGAGGAGAGAGCTGATCACAGCCCATGGCTGGTGCCCAGTGAGTGTGGGCAGGGTGAGGGGCCAGCCCTGGGCTGCTCTGTCCCAGCTGCCCACCCTCCCTCACATTGCCTTGGCATAGCCATGTGTCGAAGCACCAGGACACTCACCCAGCTCTGCAGCTTGTTTCTCTGAAAAGG